CTCCCCATCTCCCCCTACCCCAACCACCCCTTCTTCCACATGCCCCCTTTCCCTTCCTCCCTCCCCTCGAGGACCGCCACCCTTCCCCTTCCTCCCCCCTCATAGGACCCCCTCCCCCCACCTCCCCCTCTGCAAAGGATGGCCAAGTAAGCATCATGATCTATAATCCTTGTCCGGCCCGCTACATGATGAAGGATGCCACTTGTCCTTTTTCCCTCTTCCTTGGCATCCTGACCCAGAGAAGGATAGTGTAGGAGGATCTATCAGCGAGCTTCAAGTTCATCCTCAGCCAATATGAATCCGCCCTAATTCTATAATCCTGCTTCGTCTCTTAATCTCTCTCTCTCTTTCTTTTTCTTTTCTTTCTTTCTCTTTCCCTTTCTTCTCTTTTCTGTTTTCTCTCTCTCTCTCTCTCTCTCTCTCTCTCTCCTCTCTCTCTTCTCTCTCTCTCTCTCTCTCTCTCTCTCTCTCTCTCCTCTCTCTCCTCGTTCTTTCCTCCCCTTCCTCATCCTTCCTCCTTCCTTCCTTCCCCTTCCTCCCTTCCTTCTTCCTTCCTTCCTTCCCTTCTCCCTTCCTTCTTTCCATCCTTCTTCCCCTCTCCAATGCTCCCTCCTTCCTTCTTTTATTCCTCCCATCCCTTCTCCCTCAAGATGAATAAAAAAAAAAGAAAATCTGACCCTCAAAATACCGACTGTGAATACGACCTTTGAGTTAGCATTGAAAGTTCGATGCCCATTTGCTCCCCCGCCCCCCCCCCCCTCCCCCAGCCTCCCCTCTCTAACTGGCCTCCTCTTCCTCCCTCTCCTTCTCCCCCTCTCCTTCACCCCCTCCCCCCCCCAAGTCGTCGACCTTGCGAGGACACGAGGTCAGTCGTTTTTCCTGGTACGCCGTCGATCTAACCCGGTCACGCGAGGGAACCGAGAAAGAGGCTGAGGAAAACTGCACTAATTTCTTTTTACGTTATTCATCGTATCCAAATTGCACTCTTTTTCATACCAAAAACAATCAAAGAATCAATTAATACATTATTCATCGTATCAAAATTAAACGTTATTCATCGCTTATCAACAAAACTCACTCTTTTTATACCAAAAAACATCAAAGAAATAATAAATACGTTATTCATCGTATCAAAATTACATTTTTTTATACCAAAAACAATCAAAGAAATAATTAATACATTATTCTTCGTATCCAAATTGCACTCTTTTTTATACCAAAAACAATCAAATGAATAATCTATACGTTATTCATCGATATCCAAATTAACTCTTTTTTAACAAAAACAATCAAAGAAATAATAATACGTTATTCATTGTATCCAAATTGCACTCTTATTTTATACCAAAAACAATCAAATGAATAATTAATACGTTATTCATCGTATCAATATTACACTTTTTTATACCAAAAATAATCAAATAATTAATACATTATTCATCGTATCAAAATTGCACTCTTTATACCAACAATCAAATAAATAATAATACGTTACTCATCGCTATCAAAATGCACTTCTTTTTTTTTACCAAAAAACAGTCAAATAAATAATTAACACGTTATCCATCGCATCAAAATCATTTTCCTCGAGGAAGACAAACGCACTGGCAGAGAGTCCCTTCGTCTGGCTTAATCATCCCTGTCGTTTATAGCGTCTTAACAAGTCGGTTGCGATTTCCTGTGTTTGGAGAACGCTCGTCAGGCATTCAGGAATCTCCCGAATCTCGCGACGCAGAGATAAAGAAACCGAAAAAAATGTAATAAATAGATAAATACATAATATAAATAAATATTATAAATGAATGTGAATAAATAAATGCTATAAATAAATGAATAAATAAAATAATAATGATCCTTGTGCATCATTATCCTCATGCATTATTTATCATATCTAAATAATATGAATGGATATAAATGAATAAATGACATAAATAAACAAATAAATAGAATAACAATAATCCTCGTGCATCATCCTACGAGACAAAGGACGAAATCCCTCGATCTCTTAACACGTGGCGAGGGATTGAAAAAATAAGAGGGACTAAAAAAAAAAAAATAATAATAAAAACGGGAGGGAAACCACGGCGTGGAGAGCAATCCCGTCATCCCACTCCGCGACCTCGGCGGATCATGCGATGCGAGTTCGCTTGCTTCTCCCGTTTATTCTCCTTCTTGTTTGTCTTCTTCCCGTTTGTCTTACCCTAGTTTTGTTCGCCTCCTGTTTGTCTTCTCGCCCTTTGTCTGTCTATCTCCCGTTTGTTTTCTTCCCGTTTGTCTTACCCTAGTTTTGTTAGCCTCCTGTTTGTCTTCTCGCCCTTTGTCTATCTCCCGTTTTTTTCTTCCGTGTCTTACCTTTTGTGCCTCCTGTTTTCTCTCGTTTTCTATCTACCGCCGTGTGTCTTCTCGTTGTCTACCCTAGTTTTGTTAGCCTCCTGTTTGTATTCTCGCCCTTTCTCTATCTACCTCCAGTTTGTTTTCTTCCCGTTTTTCTATCTATCGTTTGTCTTCTTCCTGTTTATCTTATTCCGGTTTTGTTAGTCTCCTGTTTGTCTTCTTCCCGTTTGTCAGCCTCTTGTCTGTCTTCCTCCGCTTTGTCCTCCCTACTTTTATCTCCCTTCACCACGTTTATCTTCCCCTATCCTCCTCAATTTTTACCCCGCCCCCGTTCATCCTCCTCCCTTTTACCTTCCTTCCCGTTTATACCTCTTTCCTTTGCCTTCCCCCTTTTATCCTGCTCCTCCTTGCCTTCCCCCGTTTATCCTTCTCCCCTTAAATCTCCTCCTTTATCTAATCCCATTATCTCCCTCCCCCCTGTTAATCCTTCCTCCTTTATCTCCTCCCCCCCCGTTTACTACCTCCCTTTTATCTCCCTCCCCCCTGTTTATCTTCCTCCTCCTCCAAAATCCTGACGAGAATGCCCACGAAGCTGCAGCATTTTGTCACACTAAACCTGCTTCGCTTTAGTCTGTCACGCTTCAGCATCGTCTCGCGGGCCCCATTATGCCCATGTTCAGCTCCTGCTATCTGATGGCTCGCTCGATGCCCCCTCCTGCCTCTGCTTTTTCCCTCTGTTTCTTCTTCTTTCGTCTTTTGTCTCGAATTTTTTCTTGGTTCCTTTTGGCCTTTACTTTTTTTTTTTGCTGGTGTTGTTGGTATTGTTTGGTTTCTTCTTCCTGTTGTTTTATTCTTTTGTTTGTTACTCGCCCTTTCTCCGTTTTTTTTTTTTCTTTTCGTCTTTCCATTATCTCTTGTTCCACCCTGTGTCCACTTCCAACAAAAAGCAACAACAAACAAACAACTCGATCCTGTCATACCTATGCCCCCTACACCCCCTCCCCTCTCTACCCCTTTCCATATCCTCCCTTCCTCTCCATCTTAACCCTCTTCTTACCACTCTAGTTATTTCCCACTCCCCTTCTCTAACCCTTCCCCTCCCCCATATCCCGCTTTTCCCCTTCGCCCTCCCCCACCCCCCTTCGCACTCAACAGGTGAAAGTTGTTATTTTGTTTACAGCAGGGCACACACCTCCCCCCCCCCCAGTCCACAGTTTACCTGATTATACCTGCCCCGTCTAGTGGGTACGACTATGCATGCCCATTTACCCATTCAGCTAAATTATCTATTTTCTCTTCTTCCTATTTATTTTCTTCGCTGTATGGTTGCCCCCCCACCTCCCCCCCCCCTCTCTCTCTCTCCCTCTCTCTTTTCTCTCTACTCCTCTCTCTCTCTCTCTCTCTCTCTCTCCTCTCTCTCTCTCTCTTCTCCCTTCTCTCTCTCTCTCTCCCTCCCTCCCTCCCTCCCCTCCCTCCCTCCCCTCCCCTCCTGCCCTCCCGTCTCCCTCCCTCCATCCTCCCTCTCTTGTCACCCCTTCCTCCCCCCCCCTCTCTCGCTCTCGCTTATATCTGTAACCTATCCATCTCTACCCTTGCTTGCCTCTGCCTGACACACCTGCTCGCCTGCTGAGCCTACTCTTTTTACTCTATCCTTTCAACACAAAATCTATCTGGATTGTCAACTATTTAATGCAAATAAATGCGCGTTGATGATATTGATGGAGGGCGTCAGACGCGAGCGAACGGAGTGGAGTTCCTTGGTAAAAGTGTGCGTGAGGGATTCACTCACCAAACAATAAAAGAAAAAGTAACATGATAATAGAAAAAGATAATGATTTAACGAAATAAGAATAAATAATTATAATTAACAACTGATAAGTTTAAGAACAACAACGAATATACTATTAAATCATCATTATCCAATTGTAATTCATTACAATTC